TTATCTTTTATAACAACTTTACTGCAGTGGCATCTGCTGGCAAGGTTAACAACTGCAGGGCTTACAGTGATGCTGAATGGGATTGTTGGGTGTTAGTGCAGGCATTAAAGAATGTTTTGTTGAACTATTTAAAACGCCATATCAAGGGCATTTAAAGCTCTGAGTCAGCAGGCTTGACCTTAGAGCTGACCTTGGTTTGAGCCAGAGGTCTGACAAGGCATTCCCTGGGTTTGTTCTAGCTGGAATTTCCCTGCAATCCACTTTACAAGTTTGATTCTTCGCTTCAAACATCATGGAATAAACTCCCTGATTTGCACTTATTTATTTATTTATTTTTAAGGATTTGCATTGCCTGAATGTCCCAAAACATCTCAGCCCAGCTGAGGTCGCCTTTCTTTGGGGTCTGGCACAGACGACAAACGGCTGAACCACGTGGATGTGTTTCTCTAGTCAGGCCGGGTAATTTCAGTGTTTTTCACTGGGACACTGTTAAAGCAAGTGATATGTCCGGAAGGAGGAGTAATGCAAGCAGGAGGAGGGACCTGAAGAGTCCCAAGCATGTCTTCAGCTGCATGTGTAAGTGTTTCCCTGGCACTCACCCATATGTGTGCAGCCTCTCAGAGGTCAACTTAAGACATTGATGCAGATGTGTAGAAGAGGGAACAGATGTCATGCAAATCATGCTTGAATTAAGATTTCTGTGAAAACCCCTCAAACACCGTGCAGCTTTGGGGAACTGTACTTCACCTCTCGGGACAGACTTTATTTTAAATGCTGAAAGAAGTTATTTCTGAGACAAACATTTAGTGATTTAACCTAAATAAGCAAAACTCTCCCTTATTCTCTCCCAAGGCTCCCCAGGAGAAAAGGTTCGGGGTCATCTGAATCTCACATCACGTGGAAGAACACAGCATCTGCTTTTAAAACACAGAAGGGATTCACTGTTCTTCAGGTAACGTAAAAAGATGCATTTGATGCATTCAATTATTCAGTTGACACATCTCTTTACATGCAAAGTCAGTGGTAAATCAGAAGCAATTGTAATAGAAGCTTAAAAGTCCTTGTAGTTAATTTTATCCTATAATTCAAAGCATCATTGTCTGGTACTGATGATGTCTTTTGAAGACCCAAATTGTATGTTTGGTTTCAAGCTGTGTATTTTATCTGAAATGGCATTAAATGTATGGTGTATAAGTAATAAAAAAAAAAAAAAAATCAATCATCTGAAATATATCTTTTTCCACTGGGAAAATTTTAACTTGACTTAGTAGACCTGCATAGATACTCTTTGGCTTCAGTGTTTCAGATCAGTACAGAAAATATCTACATATGTTTTATAATTATACAGTGAAAGACTAAATTAGCTAGATGGCCCTACTGCTACACTGCATAATAATTTAGCAACTAAACATATTGTTGATGAATAAATCAAAGGCATCATAAAAACACCATTTACCTTTTTTCTTGGAGTTGCAAGAGCCATTTGTACACATAACATATTCTCTACAGCAGGAAATGAGAGAAATTACGCAGCAAAGCACTGATGGGTCTTTGTGAAGCCTGTTGTGCACTGCCTTGGTGTTATATAAATGAAATTGTTTCCTGTGTTATGTTTCAGAGCTGCAACGGCATAAACACAGCACAATTGATCCTAAGTAGTGTCTGAGGTTTTTATTGATGCAACTCAATAGGACTGATGCTCTGATACAGTATATTGCACTTTTGAAATAGTACAACGGGAACTGTTTTGAAAGAACAAAAGGCTTAAAGGAGCTTAATGTTGACCTAAATAATCCAATATACTATTTTTAAAAAACTCTTACCATACCATCTGGGGGGTTGATTCCTGACAACTTACTGATACTTCACTTTGTTTAAAAAAAACCCCCTCTCTGTGTGGCGAGCACTTCAGCACCACCACAGGGAAACGAACGAGCTGCGGCAGCGACAGGAAACGATCTGAGGCACAGAAACCACGCGGACGAGGTGTGCTGCAAAGGCACAGCAGCAGAAAAAAAAACAAATGAAAAACCGAACAAACCCCCTGGTCGTTTCCTCCCCCACCAGCTTGTCCTTTGCTCCATGTCCCGAGTGTGGACGGCTGCTCAGCTCACTAACCCCAGCGAACCCATTTCCTCCTGAGGAGGGCTTGGCTTCACTTTGTGTCTGGCTCCTCCTGGAAGCTTCAAACGGTGCTCTGTGTGAACTCTCACTGAACCTGACTCTCAGTTTCCATATTCACCATCTCTTTTGCTTCCTGTAGTAAAGTCCTTCTTGGTAATCTGTGTCCTATGGAAGAGGATCTGAATTCCTGCAGCCCAGCAGCCAAGGTGGAGGAATGGGTAGGGAGTCCTGGAGATACAGCCAGTGCCCATACTCAGGTTAGCTGTACAATGGTTACAAGTTCCATGTCCCACAATCCATCCACAACTCAGATGGGGCACCATCTGAGTTTAATCCAACTTAATAAACTGAAACCAGAGATTTTATTAATTTAACTTAATTTTTTTTTAAAAATTGCGTAATGCTTAAGAGGTGGAAAAAAGCCCAGTTGCTGGGAAGGTCATGCCCTGGTTGTCGGAATTCTAGGAATTTAAATACATGACATTGAATTTCACCCTGTTTATTTTGGGGGAGGGGAGGACAACAATCTGTAAATGATGACGTATCTACAGAAGACCATGGTGTACCTGCACACAAAAGATTCACAGGGACTATCTTGTGTTCCTTTTTTCTAAGGCAGGTACTTCTAGAGCTGATGTCAGTTTGCTGCATGTTTGTCTAGAATTATCCCACTGTAAATGTGATACAACCTGACAGGCTTTAGGATTCAGCATAAAATGCTGTATCTCACTCCAAAATCAAAACATGCACTACTTGTTACGAACTGCAACTGATGAGGCCACAGGCGTAATATTAAATGGATGATTCCAGTTTTTTATATGTGACTTCCAGTATGTTAAAACTTTTCGTTTTGTGAGGAATGTCAACACTTTAACAATCTCTTATAAAATATACATTTCAATAATAAAAATTTAAATCATCTTTCCACCACTTGGGTCTAAGGTTTAGTCAGAACGGTTCTTACATTCTTGCCTAGCAGCACAGAAGTGGTCTAGAGAAAAATTTACTTCTGAACATTTCTGGAACTTCATATAAATTCACATTTTAACATATTTCTGGTGAAGCTGAGGTCTGAAGTGATCTAGCTCCATTCCATACGTGAAGCAGTGTGGTGTGCATGTGTGTGGGGGTGTCTGTTGGTAGTCTGAATTGGACCTAACCCTGAACGTATAGATTATAGCTGAGGTTGAACTTGAATTAAAAGAAATGCCAGTTTGATTCCCTGCTATCCGAGCTGATCTTTCTACTCCTTGAAGCATATTTCAATAACCCGCTTGTTATCTCCCTCTGAGTTCCCGTATGCTATTATTGTTCTTATCTAAACGTTCACTTGATTATGGGACTGCCCTCTGAACCTGCCATCACTGTCGCTGCTTCATAATGCCCGCAATTATTTCTCTGTGGGCTGCCAGACCCACTAATGATGCTGTTGTTGCTGCGAGAGGCGAGGGCTGAGTGTTCACTTCTGCGGAACGTGATTGAAGCTGGAGCTTGGCTGGTAAGAGTAATGTAGGTCAGAGCAGTCTCGGGATCACTTTGTGGGGGCATTAATGGTGGCAGGGGTTTTTGCACGGAGTTCACAACAACTTACTCCATTAGGGCCCTTGGAGTCTCTTGGGCTTTCAAAAGGAGGGTATTCTTGTGAGTTTATGCTGTACCTTTCGATTTGTGCATCACCCACAGCTTCTGCTGAGATCCCCTCCCTCAGGGTTCCCAAGGTTGGTGCTTTCATGGACCCTCTCCAGATCAAAATTCATCTGCTCGTTCAAAACGCTCTGCTCAGAATTGGATACTGTTTACTGATGAAAGAACACATCCAATTAGTTCCTCCAATTTACCAGCCAAAGCAGCCTTCCCAGATTTCTGCACTATCTGGAAGCTGACGGTGAATCCAGTAAGCACAAGATCAACCTTTTCTGTGCTGCTCAGCATCTTCATATGTGAATTAGCCTATGTGCAAACAGTGAAGCTCATGATGCTGAAATCACAGATAAAAACTGAGACCTTTTATTACCACAGCTTGAAATTAGTCTTGTAAAATTGTAGAGAAATATTTTTGCATTTCAATTTATTAAAATCATGTTGCAGAAGTGTAATATGGTAAATAACACACCAGTGCAGTGGCACAGCAAATGCAGGCTTTGTTCTTGGAGATCTCTAAGCAGCAACAAGTGCAGGTCACTAAATGAGGAAGGAAAAGACCATGAAAGTGTCAGACCAAGATTTTACACTTTAAGTTATTTCCCACAAACAAGGGTGGGAAGGGAGAAAAGGTAGGGATGAGAAGTGCCTCAGCCTTAGGATTTCTTTTGCACTGCCTGTTTAAGAACAACATCTAGTAAATGAGACTCAGTTTTACTTGGATAAATGGGGCATAAGCCCAAGAGCAACATCTAAAGTAGGCAAGGACAAGGTCACAGCTGTGTGTAGGGGAAGACAGCACAACCCCTGCCTCCCAAAAGCACACGTACATGCACAAACACAGACACACACACATATACTCTCACGGGCTTCTGGCTTTTGGATTGACTCCAGGGATGCATCGGGAGATCAATGTAGGGAGTGTATCCTGGGCTATGCCTTGGCGGAGCAGGGTCAAACAGCTTTGTATCATCACGCTGCCATTCTCAGCCAATGAGCCCTCAGTGATTCTCCAGTGACTCTAAGGAAAACACAGAGAAGAATGAAGAAATGTAAGCCTTTTGCTCAGTCCTACCTCAGCAAAGCAGTGGTTTGCACTTCTGTTGAAAACAGGAAAAAAAGTTGAATACTGTGAGACACCTTGAGTCAGGAAAGTACTTTCCCCGCTTCCCAGGAAAAGACAGGGCTGGGCACCTCACAGGCTGTTTTTCTCACAGATAATTAGCATGGTAATTGTGATGTGTTTAATACACTAGGTGTATTATTACCTACTGTGAGATGTTAGAGCAACACTGATTGCTTTGCTCTCCCCTGGTCTAATTGCAGCACCTCAAGCCAGAAACCACAGGTTCACAGTTCATGCTCTAATGTGCAAGACAGGGACTGGTAAATGGTCTGTTGTGCTCTGAATGTGTTGTCCTTTCTGGTTTTGTATGTGAGGTTGCTGTGGAGGCGAGCTGCCTAGGATCTTTGCTGAGAAAAGCATAATTTACCTTGAACTCTCTCAGTACTGTGTGGTACTCTGACAGAGAGGGCTGCTAATGATGCAAAACCCTGCCCACAGCCTTGATCTTTACAAGCTGGCTGCATGCACACACATGTGAAATGCTGCTTCAGCTGGTTTTTTAATGAGGGGAGGGAACCCAAGAATGAAGAGGGCTCACTTGCACACCCCTCTGCCAACCTACTGCTTCATGAGACCTGAAGGCTATTGTGGAGCATTGGAGTTGGACACAAAACCACTTGGAGCCCATCCCTCATTCCCAGACAGGTATTTCAAAAGAACCAACTGTGTGGCTGTTTTAATACTGAGAAGAACCCTGAGATTAGCTCAGCTGGTTAGAGCACAGTGCTGATAACACCAAGTTTGATCTCCACATGGGCTGTTCACTTGCGGGTCCATTCCAACTCAGAATATTCTGTGGTTCTGTGAAATATCCCTTAGTTAACAATATGTTGGTTACACTGGCACAGGGCAGCCTTTCTCAACTCATGCTGGCACTGTAATCAGCCTGTTAGATGTACACAACAAATAAATCCTAATTTTCAGGTAGAATGTGGAAAAATAGGTTTTCCAAGTATCATTCCCCTGTCCCCACTTGAGATGGCTTTCAAATGGCCTCCTCAAAGACGAGATAAAAGAAACACATATATTGAGAGGACAGTAGACTCAGGTTCAGAAATCATGTCATGCAGTCACCTAATTCTGGTTCTACAGTCACCGAATTGTGTGGTTTCATCCAGTGGTAAACATCTCTCTGCAAGCTTTAGAAATGAGAGCTCTTTGAATGGAGAGTTGGAACAGCCACTGAAGCTGTTGCAGATGGAATTTGCTGCTACAATTTCAACAGATAAAATTTAGAGGAAACTTTGTTTCCTGAAAAAAATAATTTATCAAGCTAGTGAAACAAAGCCTATTTTTTTTTTTTAAGTCAGAACAATTCCTGGGGTTGTCAAGATGTCGGGACAAGTAAACTGTGGTGTAAGAGTTGTTCTTCTTTCTTCTGCCTCCCTGAAAGCTTTTCAGAGGGGCCTTAGAAAGCACAGGAGAGGAAGAGCTGGCTGTGGCAGCGGGAAGATGCCTGCCCAGCTGGGTCCCACCATCCTCCCCTAATCCCAGTGAGTCTCCAGTTCAGAGCCATCAGTTTGGGCTTGCAAACTACTCCCTTTGGTCTAGCGAAAGCCCTGTAATGACCTGATCCTTCAGAGTCCTCAGGTTTGGTTGGGCTGGAAAACATGGATGGGACTCAGCTGCCATTGCTCAGCTGACCTCCTTTTGGGAAGGAGCACAGTGATGTGCTCACGCTGACGGGACGGCCACACGTGCAAGTGCTCTGCACCATCCATCGCCTGCCAGAGGATTTATGTGGAGAAGGATGTAAGGGGACAGCTGACAGGTGCAACTTTGAATGAGGGAAAGGGAAGAAACCAGGATAGTAACGTCTGTATGCCTTTCTTTTTCACACTGTGAACTTTGTGTGGGGTGTTCATCCCTAAAATAAGTCGCCAGCCTGCAGTAGCTGATGTCCACACGGAGCCAGTCCCCCAAGGCAGGACTCCAGTGTAGGCACATAAAGTAGACAGGTGAGGGGGCTGTTGGTATCAGCTCAGTAACAATCACACACAAGCTACAGCAGTTGAAATATGTGCTCTAAAGGAACATGAAATTGTAGTAATACCAGGGAGGCATGGGATAGCCCACAGCCTTAATATCCTATCAGATATTGTTAATGCCTCCATGTTCCTTGCCAGCATGATAGGAAGGATTCCAGCTTCCATTAGTTTAGGTGGAGGTCTTATTCTCATTACCAAAACCAGATTCTTCTTTAATGATCTGTGTATTTGTTAATTTTACCCCTAATATTTTAAAATTATTTTGTTCTGTATCATATATACCAGAGAGCAAATACACCCTAGATTAGACTGCATAGACTAGACTGCAAGGTAGACAGCTGTGAATAAACTAGCTGTGTGTTGTGCAAAACATGTCTAATTCACTGTAGTTTCTTCTCTCTGCCTTGCCCTATTTTCTTCCATCTGTAAGATCCTGCAGGAAACCAATCCCTGAGACCACAAGATGAAGCCCAGAGGCAGCTCACCATGACCTTGCTGTCAGTGGTATCTTTGAGAACAACTCTAAAAGGTGTTTCTACTGAGAGGTAACAGCCTGCATCAACAAAAATGATCTAACTTGTGGGGCTTCCAGGCCCCAAATGGATGGTCCCACATCCAAGCCCCTTGATATTTTATGTATGCTTGTGGTGTCGCTGCAGAAATGCTACTCTGGGAAGGGCACAGCGTTGCTTCTTCCCTTCTAGTGTCTCCTGCTGTGCTGTGCAGTCCAGCACTCACACCCTGAGCATGAAATTTAGGGAGCAGGAATGGCTGAGGGCTTGTTTTTCTCCTCACATGAAGCTATGCAGATCCACAGCACAACATCAAAGCTCAGCTCTGCTCCTCTGCTATTGTGGATGTTAGGCAAGTTTGGCTACTTTGGAATGGGATAAAGAGATGTGGGAAGAAACATGCAAAGAAGTAATAAGGAAAACTGCTTTAAAGTTAGAAGCTTGAAGTGCTATTTTTTTTCTGTTTTCTTTCTTCTTTCCCTTTCTTTTTGTTTATTTATTCTTTTTTCTTTCTTTTTCTTTCTTCTTTTTCTTTATTATTTTCATTCTTCTTTCTTTCTTTTTTTCCTTAATTTCCCTCCTTCCCTCCTTTTTTTTTCTTTGTTTTTGTGCTTCGTTTTACATTTGCACTGTGATGTGTTCTTGAACTGGGCAATTTGCAGCAGCTTAGCAGAAATTGCTGTGACAGGCAGCACTGCAGAAAGACTGTATCTCAGACTCACCCTCCCTGGAGCAGCTGCTCAGGATGCCTGTGATACAATACTTTTCCTGTCTGAGGAGCAAAACAATAAGGCCCAGACACATTGCTTCTGGAAACGCTTGCTTATAGGCAAACTTTTTACACGTTGAATGTGCTGAAATTATAAACTAGGTTTTAACTGGGTTGCGTAGATCTCGAGTGAAAAGTACTTTCAGGAATTGCAGGGAAAGCTCCTAGCTGGCTTTACCAAATACATTTTTTATTATAAAATTTCAGAAGTGTTTATATTGCATATGTATGAGGGGTTTATATTAGAAAATTATAAATTGTATGATTCTACATAATTGGTACATTTATGAATTCTATATTAGTCATATATTGTGAATTATTTGCAATATATAGCCTATGTAATGATATAAATTTGCACTTACAAATTTCTTACGTATTTCTAAACAGTTTCTTGCATGTAATCTCTGATTTGCTTAGCATCATTTATTAACTATCGAGTTACAGATGACTTCTCTCCAGTGTATGACTCAGCTCCTCCCAGGCCCCTTGGGAGCCTTGACCTTGTCTGTTCGCATGCCCATGAAAAGCTGTATGGCAAAGCCAAAACAGCGCAGCGTGGCACATGTGCCAGCTCTACTGTCCTAGTAAAAATAAGGCAAAAGAAAGAAGACATAAGTAGGCATAAGTCACTAAAGACTAGCAGGGCTCTCATTTTGCAAAGGGAAGACACTGGAAATCTCTGGTGCTGACTTATGGGCAACTGGGGAGTCAGGAGGGAAGCAAAGCAGAAACTGAGCTCCCTTTTGCTGTTAAGTGCTGATGTTAACTCCTTATCCATGCCCCTGCAAGGAAAGGAAGGTTCAGACACGTACAGTTAATGAGCAAAGCAACTGAATAAATACAAAGGGGCCAAACAAGTTTGTATTTTGCATTTTTATCAGTCTTCTGAGAGGCTGTACACAGTAACCAGGGATCGACGGGGGTGTGGGGAGGGACTCGGTGCTTTGAAAAGAGGAAATTCCCCTCTCCCAGCGAAGGAAACATGCTGTGCCTCAGAAGGCTCAAGAAGCGGTTGGCAGCTGTGTGCAGGAAGAGAAAAACCTCTCATTTTGAACTTGAAAGCAAAACTTGGTTTCAAGGGAACAGTAGAGAAGTGTCACCAGCAAAGTCTACGGTTAGGGTGACCTATACAGTTCCTTTACTGAAATGTAAATATGTAGGTAAGAAAGCATGTAGAGAAAGGCCTTTCCCTGAGGTTTTCCTTTGAAGTAATAGGAGAAGCCTCCACAGATTTTGTGCATTTATGAACAGACCTTTTTAAAGTGAGGGCTGCAGGGGAAAGGTGGAACTGCAAAGGAGGATGTTTCAATAGCTGTTTCAAAACCAGCTTTAGTGGCCTGAATGTTATGGTGTTTCTGGGTGTTTTGCAGCCCCACCCTGCTCCACGCCTATGTAAGCCACTGGGACTACTGAAAAATATATTTTCATGTCAAGTGATGCTGACTTATGCTCTTTTGTTTGCACAATAAAAAAATCTCCTTCAAATTTGAAAATGCTTTAAAACTCCAGCTTTGAAGCAAGGCTTGAGGATGCAGTGATGATCTCCTGATTTCTGTTTAGCCTTGCCTAGAACCTGTCTGCTTCAGCCTGCAAAAGCAGCCATGGGGGGGTGTTTTGCCATTGGCTCTGCAATTCCATCTGGATTTTACCTTTTTCTGCCTTTTTCAGGTAAAAGCTCTCATGGTATCTCAGTGCTGAAGTGGCAGGCAAACATGGAGTGGTTGCTGCACCACCTCAGAGCCTGAACTCGCTAGTGCAGGAAATGACTTTGCAGTGCCTGCCCTGCGCCACCACGGCTTCAACAAAAGGCCTGTGCAATGTCGGCAGAGGATGTAACTGGGGGAAATGTGCACTGAGAAATGTTCTTATATACAGTAGAGAGGAAAGGAATAGAGAAGTAAGAAAAAGATTGCGCTGTGGTTTTCAGGCTGCCATTGCCCAATTGCCTTTGCACCGTGAGGTCCTCCTGCCACGTGCCCTGTGCCTTCATCAGGGGTGTGGAAGACAAGTAATGCTGATGCTTTACAGGAATAACCTCTGAGCCACACTACAGCAGCTTCATCTTCAAGAAGCAAAGTAAGAAAAAGGATAAATAAGTCCAGTACAGCACAGTTTCCTGCACTGCTAAGATCTGTGAGTGATCCAGCACATGGGCTTGGGCACTACCATGGGTCTGGCCCATCGTAGCAGGAGAGATCCACCTAGACCAGGTCAGCCAGAGAGCCATTGTGAAGGGAAAGCAAACTTTAAAAGTAAATGGGATGAGTCATGTTGCCTGTTGGCATAAATGCAAAACATTTAGGAGCAGGAAGTGTCTTTGTTTTTGTGCACGGGAATGTGCTTCAGGTCAGGTTATCGCTGAGGTGCATTTCTGGCCAGCAAAATAAGGGCTTGCTCCAGCAGCAAGACCATCCTGCCTGCCAAGGAGAAGCAATTTCATGCAGTTCAATGTCAGGTACCCGAGTCTTTGCTTTTTGTATTTAACACTGTATTTAACAACATTGAATTTGAAACCAGAATCCTGCCACCTACTGCTCATGGAAATTCCAGATGTGTTGTGTGCACAGCGGTCTCAACCCTAAAAACCTTAAAAACCTCAAAAACCTCATCAAAGCTCTCTGGGACTGGTCAGCTCTGCACAGGCTGGAAAAAATATCTGTGAGCCATCTCAATTGCCCTATTGGGACCTTGAGCTGATGTAAGGATGTCTGTGGCAGTGCTGGCTTTCTTGGAGAACAAAGTGCTGTTTCCTTTTGTGTGCTGAACAAACAAACAGTGTGTGGGAATTGGTCCCTACAGAAATACTTTCTTTTTTTTTTTTAAATATCCAAGTCACTTTTTTTCAGAACACTGACCTGTTTATTGCTGGGGAATGCCTGTGACTGCCTTCTGAAACTCAAAAACTGCAGAGGTGTCCATGGCAAGAATAGAAGACTATTGCAATAATACTAGGGATGGTTCTGCAGTTCAAATTAAGCACAGAAGTGTCTGAAAACTGTCAGTCTGCCTAGTGCCAGAATTCATTATGAATTTGGTTTTTAATATAGTTTAGGCTAGAAATCATCCTAATTATCTTTTTTCCTTTAATTAAATAAGAAGTCTGTCATTAGCCTCTGCTTCCCATAACTCATGTTTTGGATTGAGATTCTCATGCCTGGGAAATGGGAGAACTGGAGAGAAACTGGGGAGAGAGACAAAGAGAAGACTCTGAAGTATGTAACTATCTTTGCTGCTTATCTGTGTCCAGGTACTGGCTCAGTGAAACTTTCCACATTAACAGTGTCTTTCAGCTCTTCTGTTCCAGCTGTCAGCTGCTCACTGCTTAATCAAGAATTTGGAGGCAAATTTCTTGCTGTCTTATAAATAGTCCACATTTAAAGCTGTGGCCAGAGTATACATAGATAGACTTTAAATCTAGGGAAGGAAGGTAAGAGAGATTTGTGGAGATGAGGGAGGTGTAGTCTTGTATATGCAAATTCTGCCTTGAAGCATTTTGATTCATGTAGTAAAATTGCTTCTAACAAAATTAACTTTATGTGGATATTGTTTGAAACAAGAATTTCAAATGTTAAGCAATGAACAATGCTACGGAAGGATCACATATACACTGAAGCTCTGCTCTAATACTTATTATTTATACTTCTGAAAACAACTTGATGTATATATGCTAGTTTAGTTTTTAGAAATCTGAATCAGTTTAAACCCTCTGTCTTCATAAACCGCAGTGGAAAAATTAGGTATGTGTATATATTTTAAAATGTTATTAGAAATATAGACATTGAGGTTCAAAGAGTTAATTAATATTTAAATTACTATATTTTAAAAAATAATAAACAAGACTAGTTGAACAGGTTTAATAAGAGAAGAAGTCAATTTAGTTGAAAGTAGATATACAGTGATAGCAGCTCCTAAAGCCAAAATACATGAGCTCATCTTTTGCTAGATGCATCAAGCTGATTTCTTCATTTATCACTTCTGGTTTAGGCCTAAATGTTTTGAGTAATTACATTTTTTTTTGTAGAATAAGATGAGAGGTGTGAGGATAGCAGTAGCACCAAATACAAGAGAAAATGAGTGCGACATTAAATAAAATAATTTCTTTGGTGTCTGTACTCATGTAAGAAATTTATCATCTATTCTATATATCCCAGTGTTGGAATTATTTGTTGCAAATAGTTGTCCAAATTTACCCAAATTATTTTCCTTAAGTACAAATTTACCCGAATTATTTTCCCAGAAGTACAGTGCTTTCCCTCTTTTAAAATTCAATTAAAAACATTGCAGTGAATTTTTAATACCATTTAGAAAACTGGATGTGGGTGCAATATTCTGCCTTGATGCAGGGCCTCACATGCCACTGGCCTGGCCCAGTCAGCAGCCTCACTGCTCATTCCTGCCTGGCTCCACACCAGCGGCTCCGATGCTTGTTCCCTCCAGACCAGCAGCCTGTGGCCCTCTTCAGCTCATTTTAAAAAGCCACTTCAATATTAGTTTCATCTACTGCAGGGAGTTGTGCAATCTGCCAGCCACAGGCACAAAAATCATGCATTGGTTGCAAAACTAACGCTGGAGAGTTAACATTTTTTTCACTATATATATACATATTTGTATGTATATTAAATATACACACGTGTGGACACACACATATACATGTATACTTGTTTGTGTTGACACTTCAAAGCCTTTGGGTTCTATCTGTTTTGCATTTGCCAAGGCTTTTGTTGCTGTTTTTTTCCCAGGTACCAGAGTGCCTTAATGATTTAGGGATGTAACATTTTCAGTGTGCTATACGTGGGAATTGAGGCCAAGCTTCTCTCTTCATCCAGGGCAGGCTGTCACGCAGGAACCAGGAGAAGGTATATTCTGTCCCTCCCATCCTGTGGGGATCCCAGATGGCTGCTGTGTCAGCTGAAGTCACTCTCTGCTCTGTAACCTCTTCCTGAAGACTAGAGGATACAGGTTCAACAGCCGGAAGCCTTCTGGGAAACTGCTTGAGAATCAGCAGGTACCCAGGAGGTGCAAGCGGCTTTTCTTTGTATTTAAAGTAATACATTTAAAGTGTGAAGTTTTCTATCTTCCTCTAAATTAAAGCCACTTTCTGTTTAAACATTTACAACTCTTTCAAGCACATACCTCTGCCACATACAAATGCATTTGTCCTAGAAATCCTTGGAAATACTGTAGTCTGTGTTTTCCATAAGCCTTCAGAAAATCAACTGTTCCAAGGGCTTAACGCTGGAGTAATTTAACAGCCGTGCTGCAAAAGTGGCAAGGTAAGCAGCCCAGCAGAAGATACAGTAGCCAAAACTCTTATCTCAGGACCCATTGCTCGGAGAATTGCATCAACTTCCCCTGGTAAATAATGAGTCTTATTTATAAATTCACATACAATACAGAAAGGAAGCTTGTTGCACTATTGTGGAGATCAAAGATTCAACGTGGGTTTTTTCCTCCTTCTCCTGTTTGGAGAACTAAAGTCAGTTTGTATGTATCTGTGTCCTTCTTATTGCTGAGCCCAGCACAGTTGATAGCCTTGGGTATTTTTTTAAAGCTGTTTCTAAAGATAAACATTTTGCAAAAATTCCCAGAATGCAAGTGCTCAACTTAATTTGCCCAGAGCTGTACTCTTTGTTGGCAGGCTGTTCCTTTACAGGGGGTTTTAAGTTCCAATTCGAAGTATCACATATTAATACACAATGAGAAACTTTTTCTGTGGTCGAGGGTGAAATCCCTGCCTTACTGAGGTCCAAAGAAACAAAACTTTTATTGATTTAGTTCAATAATATTCAGAGGCTAATCCCAAATCTCTCGCTCCTTTATTAAGAACGATTCTATCACTGAAAAAATATGAACAAATTTATATAGCCTAATCAAAACAATCCCCAAAGTGCCTGAGCACACTAACAACAGCTTTTAAACTTGGATTGTCATCAGTTTTTCGGTGTCAGTTTGAGAGGCAGAGATGTTTTTTGTTAGCATGCAGAACTCAGTCTGCCTTCTCTTTCAGGTTATACTTTTTGATGTGACAGACAACACACAGGTTCATCACCACCTTCTTGGCTGCAGCAGGTAATTTGCTCAGCTCCATGTATCATGGTGACAGCTGCCAGACAAGAATTTTCTTCCTCTCATGCAAACAGTAGATGTATTTTCACTGGACAGGCTAGGATGTTTTGATCAAATACAATACTAGAGAGAAAGAGAAAGAGAAAGCATATGGGGTGTGCATATATATACACAAAAGTCTATGTAGTATATACACATACACACCCATTTATATATACACACACATCTATGCATAAAGGGGTTGCTTAACAGCCTATAAAAAACGCCACCTTACTATGAGTCTTACGGGTGTTTTCTTCCACAGAAGCAAAGAGCTAATCAGGAGAGGAAACAGGAGCTGAATTACCCCACCCACCTCCATAGACCCTGCTAAAGCCATTTATCACAATGTTTCTCAACCTTCTTGAGTTGGCAGCTTTTTAGGACTTGTTTTTGCAACCTTTCACGAAACCCATTAAAAACGGTATAATAACAAAGTAACAATAATACTAGTCTTAAGCACAGGTGTGGTAGGGACACATGGGAGTTCCCCAGGCAGCCATGGGCTGTCAGATCTGGCTGCCGGACAGAAAAAGATTAACTTTGACCAGAAATGTTCTAAGTGTTCCAGAGCAAAACAAATTTAGGGGAGTTCATGGCCAGCACTGTGCAGTGTGTTAAGGTTGTATTTCGTGAATATTGATTTTGTCAATTTAAAGTGAGTTACATTCGATGAAAGATAGGTACTGGCATCAGAATTGTCATCTTTTAATATTTATATCTAAAAAAATGAAAATCTCCATCTTATTACATCAGAAGAAATAAGAGATGGACAGAAACAGTGTGAAAATGACTGTAAGAATTTTTTTTGCCTAGTCAATGGAAGTTTAGTTCATTTTTTGGTCTCTAAATGCCATTGGAACAAGAACACTTCTGAGATAATTTTATTCGTCAGCCACAAACATTTTCAGGTAAAATCAAAAATAGGAGGACAAAAAATGCAGGATAGATATTGAATATGCAAATATTATTAAGCAACCATGCAAAATAAAGGTAAAAGGATTTAGAGTAAAATTTAATGTTTGAAGAAGTATCTGTAGATCATTAACTAAAAAAAGAGGCTAGCTATAACCTGAATTTAATTCCATAGACTTGACTTATCTGAGGACTACTGTGATACCTGTTTTCATATGGTGTTGAGAAAGCACACAGTTATGTGTGTCCAGATGAATTAGCTTAAATATCAGGACTCATAATAATGCCAGCAATTCGTAATATCACAGGCACCAACTGTTAATAACCAACTGGTTAATAACAATGCAGGGGACTCCAATGGTCACCAATTCTGAACTGTAAGTCTTGGGATATTAACTAGAGTTAATATACCAGTGGGATTTTTTAAAAATATATTTTATTAAATTAAAGGTATTTTAATATCCTGAAATACTAAATTCAGTGCCTCCAGAGGCAGAAATTCAGAACCTCCAGAGGGGTTCATTGTTTGGAGAGAGTTCCTCTGTAAAGTCAACCTGTTCTGCCAAGGCCAGACAGTACAACTGAACTCCCCGGGACTACTTAAGTAACACCAACAAGCAAGCACAAACTGTAGGACTACCCCTGGCTGTCACTTAGAGCTACTTGAGACATCATTCTTATAGAAAGCCCCAGATTCCCCTTGGATATACTCAGATTTTACAGAGTGCAGACAATATTATTCATATTGAAATTTTACTTCATCAGATACTTATATTTTCCCTTAAGCTTAAGCAATTTTTACTGCTAAGTGTGCGTCCTGAGGAGACTTCAGAACCATAACTTACACCTGATGAAATTTTTCCTGGCCCTTGCTGGAGAAGAGTGAAATGATCCCATTTTTGGTTATCGTGTTGTTTTCCACCATTCTCCTGAGTCTTGTCATAGCTAACACTCACTTCCCATCGCCTTTTGAATGGCTTCCTCCCAAACCCCTGCCCCGTTCTCTGCCTTCAGCTAAAGAGCATGTTGGAGACAGGAATCAGAGAAGGAAAGGTGTTTTTCTCCTCTGGAAGAGTCACTGTCTCTGAAAGTGTCTCTGGATGTGGCACTTGGGGATACAGTTTAGGGGGATTATTGTGGAGCTGGGGTGATAGTTGGACTAGATGATCTTGAAGGTCTTGTCCAACCCTGATGATTCTGTTATTCTCATTAAAATGAAAGCCTAGAGAATTATTTTCTCAGTTTTATGTTGTGAGATAAAGATGTTTTATGTAGATATAGGCAAATTTCAAACACTGGAAACCTAACTTGCAGCAGTGCACAGGTAATATCATTTTGATGGTCATGGTCCTGACTGGATTTCCTATTTGTCCCATTTATTAGTTGTCCTGTGGTGGTCCCATAAATATTTCTGAAATAACCTCTCAAGTGTATACCAATTATCACTGGCAGAATTGCAATAAACAGTTCTTAATGGCCCAGTAGGTTTCTAATCCAGGTTCAGTAAGCAATTTCAAACCAAAACCATTTCTCTGAAAGCAAGTTTATTCTCTAAATGAGACTTCAACTGAAAACCTTCATGTTTAAGCATATTAACTGTAGGATTCTTCTGCCAACAAAATGAAGCAGGCTCACTCCAAGGAATAGTTACTGTTATTTAGAAAACTACTGAAAACAGTTTTTAACATAATGGTTGTAAACTGTGCAATAGTAATATAGCAAAAATATTAGCTGGAACGAAAATATACATTATCTGAAGTCAGAAATTAAGCTTCACTTGCATTCTTTTGCATAGTAAATTATCAAGTGTCTCTTAGATAAAGCTGATTGCCTTAACTAAAGAACAAATTTATTCTGGCTGCATTTATTAAAATCTATATTTACACGTGATTCCTGTTTGACTGAGTAACTTTTAATCTCATTTAAATGTCTCTTACTGCATCACATAGTGAAAAATACAATGAATGTATGAGAAAATATAACTGGACCTCTTTGGTATAAAAATAGGAGAGATACAAAATAAATTTTTTTAAAATTTCCTTGTGAAAATGAAAAATGTCAAGGCCAAAATAGACAGAATAAATAGTAATATATATATATTTTTAAATAATTCACACACGAATGCCCATTTCCTGCAATCACTTAGGGGAAAAAAAGCTTGCCATACTTACTCTTAATTCGAACATTATAGCTACAAAATTAAACCCCCAAACAAACAAACAAACAAACAACAACAAATTGTTGTTGGTCGGTTGGTTGGTTGGTTGGTTGGTGTTTCTTTTTATGTGGGATTTTTGCTGTGTCTGCATGGCACTGCCAGTTTTCTGTATGAGACAATGGTGGTCTTGTTTTTAGGGAATTTTCCTTCGTTTAGAAAGCTTTACTAGAACAGAGTATCACTTGTCAGTCTGTACCCAAATTCAGACTATTTGGGACGTCCACAATGATTGTGCAAACACAAACAGGACTGTATTTCACACTTAAAGCACTTCATCACTTTTAAGATCCCAACACTGGAAACAACTTATTTGAACACTAAACCTCACTGTTAAGGACAATGTGTTAATTCTTTCACAACCCATTTTTCATCTGCCCGCTCAAATATTGCTTAGACTTCCTGATTTCAAAATCTGGCCAGGAACTCGAATGGCCTTTCTGAGAAAGTTGCCTCAAAAGGACAAGGGTAACCACATGCTGCTGCTTTTTAGTCCTTTTTTATTTCTCTTTCGGAGAGAGAGGGGCTGGTTTTACTGCATTTTTACCATATTTTGGTTTTGTTGGGTGCTGCAGGTGCAGGGCTGCAGGGAGCACAGCCTGTTCTCCGGTCAGTGTGGGAGCACTCGCGGTCTCGCCACCTCAAAAGCCGCCTC